GTAGAAGAAAGATACTTATGTTTTTTCTAATAGGAAATTCTTTTTTTAAGACTTCTTAACATACACAATGATATGTAAAAACTTTTGATCATTTATTTTTTAAAACTTATAAGAAAAAAATTTTTTTAAAAACTTCTGATTTTAATTCCTAAAAAAGTTACAAGACCCCTTAAAGAAGGCCATCTGTCGGAGGCGTCATAGAACTATATTGGCGCGAAATTTAAATTTAATATATTCAAAGCGAATAACTGATAAGTAAAACATACTCTTCAGCTAAGAATAAATAAATATTAATTAATCTAATAAAAAATATTAATTAGATTATTAATCAATTAATAAATAGATCGATTATTAATTAATTATTTATTAAATAATAATATAGAAATAAACTTCTCAAATAATATTGAAACTAATTGTTTTTCTTTGTCTAAAATGGAAGCAAAATATAAATACACTCTGTCCACTAAATATTTCGTTAATAACAGAAGAGAACTATTCCATCGCCATCTGTCGGAGGCGTCATTGAACTATACCGGCGCGAAATTTAAATTTAAAGGGGAAAAAATCGAATAACATTGCAAAGTCTCGTCATTGAATTCTGTATTCACAGTGTCTTAGGTCAATATTGCCGATAAAAGTTGGTTGAATTAAATTCAGTCTTATCTGAAAATAAAATTTTCTTTCATGCAACACAGTTTTTATAACTTTATTTCTCTTTTACTTCTCTATTTTTTTTTCCATTTTTTGTTTGGATTACTTCTACTTTCTTATAAAATGATCTTGTTTATAAATTTCACTATCTCGTTCATAAATTTTCTTTCATGTTTCATGAATTTCTTTATCATGCTCATAAATTTCTTACACAATTTATACAAGAACAATAACAGCAAGTGAAATATGATTTTTTTTTTAAATTCTCCTTTTTTTTGTTTCTACTTTGTATATATACATGGTTTAATTATCATTACTTGGCCATTAAGAAAGAACATGGTAAAATTTGCAAAGAGTAATTAATTTATTAAGCTTTTCGTTATTAATATAGTAAACATTTTTTTATCGTAATATTTTGTTTAGAAAATTTAAATAGGTATTTAAATTAAACATCTGAAAATTTAATTTAATTATCTAAGTATATTTACTTTAAATATTGAAATTGAATATATTTGGAAAAGTATTTATTTTATGAAATTGTTATGAAAGTCAATTTATTGGGAAAAAAAGGAAATAAAGTTTCTTTCTTTGTTATAAAATCAATTTTGATACTTGCAATAATAAAACCACGCGATCCTATCTTATGTATATATATATGTGTATACTTAATAGAATTCTCTTTAACGTTTATGAAATTCTACCAAACCACACTAAATCGATTGTGTATATCCTTTACAAAATTATACACATTTTGCAAAGAATTCCACGAATTTTCATTATAAACTTGCAATTGTGAGTTGAAATGTATAAAAGAAATTCTTTATATAATAAATTATTATGGCTTTAGTGGAAAAAAAGTTTTTTCATCACAATGTATAAATATAGAAATCTCATAAAAATTTATGTATTTTTTTACAATTTAAATTCAATTTTTTATGTTCTTGAGAGATAAAAAAAAAAATTTGACCATAAGTTTTACAATTTCTCTCTCTATCTCTCTCTAGAATTTGGAAAATTTTTGATAGTTTAGAAGATGGTTGAAAGAAAAGGAGTTTTAGATGGAAAAAGCCGATATAGTTTAGTTGGAATAAAGCTCTTACTGTAAGTAAGAAAAAAAATATATTGTATAGATATATTCGTGTGGGGTTGTCGTAAAATGTCCACGGAATTCAAAACGAGGATCAACGTCGCCCTCGTTTCATTACCATGAATGTTCCGCCTGTCTGGGAACTCTGGCGACTTACTCTACATAAGCTTATTCCCCTACTTCCTATATATACCTGCTCTTGGTTATTGTTTATGCAAACGCAGATTACTCTATCGATCCTTCTTTAGCATTTTGTCCAACTAAAGTATTTTACGAACAAGAAATTGATACTTTTTTTTAGTGAAAAAATTTTTAATCACCAACAATCTGCTGTCGAATTGAGTAATTTGATTTTCATTTCGATTTTTAATTCTATTCTTAAAAACTAAAAAAAACAAACTTTTCTTGATTGTAATTATGAAATTATTTAATTTCGAGATCAAACATTTACCCAAAAGCACATCTGTTCAAAGAATCAATTTCTATTTTTTGATTTAACAAAATATGTAACGAAAGTGTAACAAAAGCGATAACAAAAAAAAACTGAAGAACTTTTAGTTGATATAATAGACCGTAAAAATTGAAACGCGAAATAGGGTCAGAGAAGTGAAATATATTGTATAGAGATGTAAAAAAAAACGAAAAAGGGACTCGAGAGATTGAAAAGAAAGGGTTGAAACGTTATATTCGAATCTCGTACACATTTCGCGAATTCAAAAGAGTCTTTAACATTTTTTTTTCTTTTTTTCTTTTTCTTAAATATAAAGGCGTTAGAGAGACGGAATTTTGGGCGCGCAGTCAGGGAAATTTGTATGAAGCGTGTTGACTTGATCAAAGACGACGTTTCCTGAAACATCTGGATCTTCTTCGTTCGCTAAATATTCCCCCATCCCCTCCCACCGTAGAAAAAAAAGAAGAAAATAAAAAGGAAAACACGGATAATTTAGATGTTTTTTCAGCCGGACTCTTTAACAGCGCCTTGGCTGTGAAAAAAATAAAGTGTCACTACCAAAAAAATTATCCCTCTTACGAAAGTTGTTCTTTTTTCTAATTTAGGATAAAAAGTGTCTTGTTGCATTATGAACAAAGTTAATTGCAAGAAATTAAATTAACAAAACAGTTATTAAATAGATTACAACCAAGTTGATTTAAACAAATTGAATCTCAACAAAGTTAATTACAACAAATTAGATTACAACAAAGTTAATTACAACAAAGTTATTTGCAATAAATTGTATTCCCACAAAGTTAATTACAACAATTTAAATTACAACTAAATTGTTAACAACAAATTAAATTACAGAAACTTGAATTACAACAAAAGGGTTTGAAAAGTCTAAAGTACATTTTATCCTTGTCTAAAGTACATTTTTCTTCTACAACAATTGACGAAGGTTAAATCCAATTTTTTTATTTAACGAATAAATTAGAATTGAGTGGAAAAAATTTTTTTTTCCTCCTTCATGCGGATAATATTTCAAAGGGAATGTTCATAATAATCTTTGTGTAGTCTATACTTTTAATGATGTAGGCAGAATGTGTATGAAGGTTTTAAATATTTCCGAGAGATTAAATTCAATGGGCAATTAACAGAACTTAATTTTCACAGTACATATAATATTTGTTGAATGGGAATGAGGTAAAAGGTGAGTTTATCTTGGAGCAAAGTGCGTATATAGCCCGTATATATATAAATGCAGAGTTGAGAGGGAAAATGGCACAGGTGCTGGAGATATCTTCGAGTCTCTTCCCATAGAGAATGAGAGAGGGGAAAAATGAGAGGGTAGGGGGCAATTACATAGGAATAAAGAAAGCAATTGTAAGCACGTGGGGCGGAACCACTTACTTTAGAAAAATTAATGAAAATCACCTAAAATAAAATTCGATGTGGAAAAATTGAAATCTCTCTCTCTCTCTCTCTTTTTTTTTCTTTCCGTCCTCTCTCGACACTAGTTGGAAACGACGGCTCCTTTAAAAGCTAAACTATTTTTATTTGCCCTCCTTCGTATATATACTCTTTTAACAATTTCTCTCTTGGATTGTCTATTTCTACCACACGTTTATTTATACAGAAATAGTGGAATCATCTCTGTCCCTCTCTATATCAACTGCAACTTAAAAATTCTCTCTCAAAATACAGGGAAACAATTGGAAAATACTTTTTAATTTTTTGACGCTATTTATTTAATTTATTGTAACTAAAAATACAAATTGAATCCTAATACTAAAATTAATGCTAAAAGCTATTACTGCTATTGATAATAATAATGTCAAAATCAAAAAGTGTCTTTTTTTCCCCCTTCCTGGTGGGGCAAAAGAACCCATTTGTAGTGCTTTCGTAAATCATAACAGTAATAATAATATAATTTTAAGAGTAAAAATAATAAATACAAAAAGCAGCTGCCGAAAGAAGAGAAATCCCATTAATATCGATTTAATTGTAAAATTATTGATTACGGTGTTTATAAAAGATGAAAACGAAAACACGATCGTTTTTCAAAGTTTTGACAGTAAAATCTTTTTCATGTTGTAACTAGTGATTATTTAAAACAGCGGCGTGAAACGAAAAGACATGAAACACACTCGACCTGTTTATTTCGAGTTTACGACAAACATAAAAAAAGTAAAACTACTCATCAATTATTTACGGCGTTTTAAAAATCTCGAAGCACTGTTATTATTTTTCCTTTTTTCCCCAAGTTTAATTCCTTTTTCTTCTTTTTTTTGCAAAAACAATTTTTTGAAATTTAAAAAAATTCTTTTCGCATACGAATACAAATTGAAAATGTAATATACGCAATGACCATAAATTGTTTTTTAAATAAATATATTTTTTCTGTAAAAAAGGAGGAAAATATATTTTATTATTAACTGAAAATATTATATTATTATTATTAACAATATAATTATTTAGTATTACATATTATTTCGACGTCTCGTCGTTATGCACTGCATTTTTAAATATCTCGTTGCTGAGCAATTATAGTTCGATGACGCCTCCGATAGATGGCGAAAGAAAACTCCTTCGCCATCTGTCGGAGGCGTCATAGAACTACAGTGTCGCAAAATTCAAACTTTTTTTAATGAAGAATATATTATATTTTCTTCCTTTTTATAGAAGAATATATTAATATTTCTTTCTTTTATTGAAGAAAATACAAGATTAATTTTCTTCTATTTCTTATAGAGAAAAATATTAAATAAATTTTCTCTTTTTTCATAGAGGAATATACTAAATAAATTTTAATTTTGTTTGTTGCAGGATGGTCCGGATGATCGGAGATGAATTTCTGACAGAAGAGAGGGATCGAAAATATTATGCGGATCATTACACATGCTGTCCACCGCCATTGTTTATCATTCTCATTACACTCGTTGAGGTGAGTGGAATAATTAAACGTTCTTTTTTTCATCTATTTTGTATTGTATATATCGCTTATCAGCCACACATTTTGCACGTTATAAATTACCCATTTTACTTATATATACCCTGTGCAATAACGTGTCGTCGCCTAAGAAAAGTGATCGAGAACTTGGTATACCTTGTCGTTAATTAAATTTACAAGTTATATGGTAGCAAGTTGGTAAACGGATACCACGTCTCTATACTTCGTTCACATATATAATGCGTATATATATATGTATACAAATATATATACATATATTTATACATATATATGTATGTAATTTTAACCATCATCGGTTATTACCCATTAACGAGAGCGTTGCTTGATACACGATGTACGCTTCGGGTCAGAATTTGTCACATTTCAGCTAGCTCAATTTTAATAATAATTTATAGCTGTCTGCTCATACAACATATTATATCCCCGCGTGTGTTTCACATCGCCTATCAAAGTCCCACGAGAAACGATTTTTTACATTCACGTCAACAAATTAAAAAATCTAAATGACACAATTATTATTGATTTTCAATGTTTTTAACTTTGGGATTCCTAAACTTTTATATAAACGAAATTTATTTATATTACCTCAAAAATTTAATTATAATAAAGAAATTTAGTATTTAAATTCATGTTAATATCGCGTCATATTAGAAGAAAATATTAATAATATTAATAATAAATATTCGCATTGTTATTACACGGCTCTCAATTTATGATAAAAATAATGATCAGTTTTGCTTTAGTCATAACACATAAAATAGTTGACGATTGTCCTTAAATATTGTGTTCAAACATTATTAATCGTTTATATTGCGAGCGACACTATAATATATTTTTCGTACCAGCGATCTAAAGCGGTACCGATAAAGAATGGGCGTGCAATGGGGATAGGAATATAATAACGTATATATATATGGCTTCATGTACCATAGACACGACAAACTTTTGCGTAAATCGCACTAAATTACCACGGAAGTATTATCATTTACCTGAATATAATGGACGTGCTATACGTGTGCTCCCTGTATTATACTTTAATATACGAGCCAAAAGTGGCACCGACTATGGCGCAGCAATGCGCGGTATATATATGTATAGAGAGAGAGAGAGCAGGGCACACAGCATGCAATAAATTATTATTAGAATCGAACCTGCAGCGAATGTGACAATCTCCGGGCGTGAATCACCCGCTACCGCATCCAGTAATTGGCAATAATCGTGTCTTCCCGAACCATAGAACACACAGAGATGTGTAAAGGAGAGAGAGTGAGAGAGAGAGAGAGAGAGAGAGAGACAGAGGTTATTATTAACACCGTGACGCGAAGACGAATCACCTACGTTCGATAATGATAAGTTCCCATATTCTCCTATGTCAAACTTCAGCCCCAAGATAATATTAAACAATAGACGTAGTTTGATCGAATTCATCATATGTGGTGATGAGGAAATTCAGCAATCTATATTCTGTCATTGAGTTATCGTTTATTTGTTTTTGCGTAGCGTTGTAGGATTTTTGGTAAAAAGAAAGTTGGTGGTAAATAAATTTCTTTTTTTAAAAAGTTTATGAAAATTCTTTTAAACTCTTTCTGTAGGGAAGAAAGGAATTTTATTTAACTTTTTGTTAACCTTTTCGTGTTAATTTGTAACTTTTAATTTGAATTTCGCGGTACAGTAGTTCTATGACGCCTCCGCTAGATAGCGAGCAAATTCTATTGATAAACGAAATCTTTCGTTTTCATTATTTATCGAATTTTTGTTTTATTGACAAACTCCTATTTCAAAGAAATTTTATTGACAGAACAAGATATTTCGTTTTTATAAAGTTTATCTGTCTTAAAATCAAGAAAAATATAGATATTGTCTATTAAATATATTTTAATGAGCAACGTGTTTCCTTTCGCCATCTGTCGAAGGCGTCATAGAACTATAGTGGCGCAAAATCCAAACTTAATGAACACAACAAAAAATAAAATGCAGATATAATCTGACCACTGAATATCTCGTTTATGATCAAAAAATTCCCTTTCACCATCTGTCGGAGGCGTCATAGAACTACAGTGGCGCGAAATTTGAATTAAATTAAAAAAAAGCAAACTAATGACTAGTAGAACCGGGAAAAGAAACCATAAAATATCCAAAGCGATTTTAAATAACGGATAAAAGCATAAATTATTATTTGAAATTGTAATTCGAATTCTAATTTAGAATACCAATAATTTTGATTGTATCGAAACGATGAAAAATCTAGTTAAATTATATAGTTGAAATGTAGCTCTGAAATAGAAAAGATTCTAATAATGTAAAGAAAATGAAATACTCGATAAATTGAAAAAATTATGACTCTTTTGGAAAAAGATATTTGATTGCAATAGAAGAAGAAGAAGAAGAGATGCTAATAATAATTTGCATTTCAACTGAACTGTAATTTTTCCTCTCCTAGGGGGGAGAATTCCATAAAACGACTCCTACTTAAAAAAAAGCGACTACTCCCTAATGATTATTTGTATGCGAGAGAGACTATTTTTTGATACAATTGTGAAATAGAAAAGAGAGTCTAATGATTATATAGAATCAGGAGAGATGTTTAGTGTGTGTTGAAGGTAATTTTCTCCTGATAAGAGGATTCATTTAGGTCGTTTTCATGTATTTCGAATGTAACGAGCACGCTTTCAACCTCCATGACGAAGACTATTATATCGGTACAATCCATTTATTCGTCTTTTTTGGTTACAGAGAGTATTTTCCCCAACTGAAAAGGTGCGGGTAAAGTTTTATCTCTCCGGTGTGATATACGACAGTATCACCAGTGTTTTCCCCCGTGTCTAGGTCGAAGGGTTTTAGTTTAGAGATTGTATAAGAGAAAGAGAGATGGACTATTGTGTGCGCAATGGTACACACTCACACAACGAGGAGAAATCCGGTAATCTTCCGCGAGTGGAACACAGCTTTATTTCTAACCTGTCGTATATTTCTTTGAAATGTCGAGTCAAGCCTCTCGCTATTTTCCTCGAAATCGATAATGCCGATTTTTTTTCGTTTTCCTTTTAATTTCGGAGGTTTTTTTTATGTTCTTTCTTCTGCTCTTTTCTGCTGTTTGTTACTCTTTCGCACGCTTTTTTTTCACTCTTCTATACGCGGCTCTCTACACTCTTTTTTCTGCTGTTCAGAGTCGCCTTTTCCGGTAGGTCGAAAGTCGTTTAGCGTCTATGCGATTTTTTACCTTGCGGCAAATGCATTTTCTAATTTGTATTTTGAAGAACGTTTTGTCTTAGGGGGTAAAGAGGACGCTATGACGGTTCGCAATATCGGAGAGGAAACTTTTGTTTCCAAAAAAAAGCCACTGTTTCTGTAAGTTTAAAAAGCGGGGAGTAAACTAGAAAAAACACGCTCGAGGATCCATTTCAACTGATTTCCAATTCTTATCGGGGGAGACACTTTTAAAAGGGTATTTTTCTACTTTATTCTAATTAAGTGCCGTGGAGAGTGATATTTTTCTTTCTTTTTTTTTCTAGGGGGGTAATTAGTCTTCCTTTCTCGTGGAGTTAAATGTTTATTTTGCGACATTAAATCGCTGATGGTATTTTGACCCAAGTACAATTTATTTGAAAAATACTCTTTAGGACACGGATTTTAGAACTCGGGTACTAATTACCTAGACGTGTTAATTAATTCAAGCAAATATCTATACATTTCTTGTTTCTGCAAACTTCCCGAAGAATTTATGTTGGGGATATGGAAAAGAGTAATGAAAAAATAATGTTTAACAAATATTTAATGTGAAAGTTAAATTCTTTTGCTTGGTGCAAACAACTGTCGTGAGTATCTGCGATTCTGTAATAAAATTAGGCTTGAGTTAATATTTTATGAAATACGTTTTTATGCTAACAAGTTCGTTTAGCATAAATTTGTTCCGTTTCCAAGTTAGACGAATCAAAAAACTATCGAAGTTTACAAAGGGAATGTTTATTAGGAATAAGGTAATTAATAAGAAGCGTGCGCCTGTGGTTTCAAGAAGTGGGAAGACTATCCAGCGTGCGGACCGGGAGAAAGACCCGGCTCCGCCCACCGGAGACTGGCTCGTGGTGGGGGTATCCCCTCCCGCTGCGGTCGAGCGGTCAGCCGACCAATAGCGACCGGTCCTCAGGGAGTATAAATATCGAGTGCCAAGGATCGGCACAGCCATTCCGCATGGGACTTTCTTGCGGTGCAGAACTATTAATTAACTTCTGTTTTGAATTTATTCCTTCGTATGCTGATTCGACTACCTGGTCTCCCACTGCTTCTTTAATATTCTTTTCTAAACAGAGAACTACTACACTTTTATTGTAAATCTAGTATTCAGAAAACTATCGAACTTCCAAAATCTAGTCTTCTGAAAACTGTTAAACTTCCAGAATCTGGTCTTGTGAAAATTTTTGAACTTCCAGAATCTTTTCTTCTGAAAATTGTCGAAGCTAATAAGGTGCATGAGATTGTGCTTCCTCCCTCTCATCAGGAAGCAATATTTGACGGAATACAGTTGTCCAAAGACGGGGAAAATTCAATGAACCAAACTGGCGACTACCCATAACGTCCCTCCTGCCCTAAAGTGGAAGCCATCACCCCGTGTAATATTTGCAATCACCCGGTGCAATATCTAACGTTCGCGTTCCTTTAATGTACTATACTCGGCATGGCGCTCGTTCGTGTAATATAGTTTCTGCATAACGAGGTTAGTTTAGTGAGCGAGCATTTAGACGCACAGATATATAAGCGAAGAGCTCTGGTGTTGCTTGTTGGGGGCATAACACTTGTGTACATGAACTTAAAGAGGGAATGGCTATGGATGGTAACTACTATCCATTTTAGTCTGATGGTGTGAGAGGAGAATGTGAAGAAGGTATGAGACGGACCGAGAAGGTGAAATTCGGCCGGGATGGCGTCTTAGTAATATCCGGCGGGCAACCGGAATCTCCCTTATCTCGAGGTCGTGT